ATGATGATGATGATGATGATGATGATGATGATGATGATGATGATGATGATGATTCTGACTGAATAATGATATGACAGCCTCTGTTGGGCTAAGGACGTTAGGGTAGGAGTAACAACAACTAATGTTTTTGCTCATCACCTCGTGTCTCCTCCATGTAATCATATCCCAGCTGACGCCATCTCCGCAGATCGCAACTCGTCTGATGTTCATGCATGCTCCCTCTTTCCTATCAAACATCTATCGTCCTTATCTCTCCTCAATCTTTTTTATGTTTGTAACTCTCTTTGTAACACCTCTAATCTTCTGGCGCTCATATGACCTTATGCAGTTGCAAGTGCCGTAAAACCTCTACTAAAACTAACAATGCATGTTTTCTTCCCTTCTTTAGACTGACAACTTGTCAGTCGATCTTGTCTGTGCCATGTCTAACGACCCCTGTCTCTTAACGACCGCTCTGAAAACATGTTCGATAACGGCCTCTGTCTTGTAAGCGAAACTGTGATAACATGACCTTCAACGAGCACTGTCTTATAAAGACAACTATGACTGCATGTCTCACAACGACCCATCTGTCTTATAAAGACAACTATGACTACATGTCTCACAACGACCCATCTGTCTTATAAAGACAACTATGACTAAATGTCCCTCAACGACCTCTTGTCTTTTAAAGACAACTATGACTACATGTCCCTCGACGACCCTTGTCTTATAAAGACAACTATGACTAAATGTCTCACAAGACCTCTGTCTTATCAAGACAACTATGACTAAATGTCCCTCGACGACCTCTGTCTTATAACAACGGCTCTAACATCAGTGTATATTGTATCTCCACAGCGCTGTCAGAGGTACACGGAAAGAGAATCCTGCCGTGTATCTTGTCGGAGAGAACTCATCTACAGAGCCATGATTCTGAGTAAGTGTGTGTGTGGGGGGGGGGTGTATGTGTGTGTGAGTGTGTGTGAGAGAGGGAAAGAGAGGGTAGGGGGGAAGGAGAGAAGAGCCAGAGAAAAGAGAAGGAAATGAAGAAAGAGGGCGGAGGTCGGGGTGAGGGTGGTGGGGGTAATTGAATATGGGGTGGTGTGGGGTAGAGGTAAAGAGAGTACCTGCGTGAAAGAGATATATAGATAAACAGACAGACAAAGTATATCAATGTACATGTCCCATCCCCCCAGCCGACAGACAATCCTGGCCAAACTGAACACCCAAGGCGCCTCAGAGCTGATGTACGTGCCTGGAGATCACGTGGGCATCTACCCGGCCAACGCCGCGGAGCTAGTGGACGCCATCTTGGCTCGCCTGCACAACGCCCCGCCCCCTGATCAGGTCATCCGCACTGAGTACCTGCACGAGGTGGCCACGCCTCTAGGTGAGTACATCATGGGATGTACGGACATAGACAAATTAATGTGAGGCATTGGTTGAAATCTGGCGCGCGGCAAAATAACGAAAACTAAAAAGAACCGGCATTTTTCTACCCTTGGGGCAACTTTTATTGGATTTTTAAAAGTTTTAGCTCAGCAGCTTTTATACCCATTTAAAAACATATTCTTGCTTGAGTTTTACTGAAAAGCGTTGATGAAAGGCATGTAATTAATATTCCTTTCCAAGGACACTACAGCTTTGGTAGTCACCCAACTTTAGAGGCTAATTCTGTCACCGACACCGGGTGAATTTTTTCGCTATAAAAGAGAGAACAAGCAAAGGAAAGGAAAATTTTTCAGAGGTCAAACAATGAAAGAGTAGAATGATTTCACTCAAGGGGGAAAGTGGACAGAAAATAGGTGAGAAAGGTTGAGAATGAATAAAGGAAAAAAGGGGGAAATATAGGAGAAAAAACAATCAGAACACGAAACAGAAAAGACCCTTGCAATAAGACCATTTGAAGTTTATATATCACCGCCTCGTGGTTCTCTCTCTCTCTCTCT